GCGAGAGCGAGGCTCTTTTTTCGGCTCCATTGTCAATATGCTCAGCGGCACCTCCATTCGTCCAAATAACTCCATTCGAATTGCCAGATGATGATGATAATGAGGAGGAGGAGGAGGAGGAGGAGGAGGAGGAGGGGGAGGAGGAGGAATAGGAGGATCAGGAGGATCATGATGATACATACAAACTCAACCTCCCCCTTTCACTCACTTGAGAAATGCCAATGAAATTTAAAGCTGTGATAAGTTTGCTGTCCACGATGAAACCTTGCAAGAGAAGGCTAACTAGATTCACTCCTGTTATGGAAACATTCAAAGAACAGAATTAATTCATACGAATTTTAATGGAATGAAACATAGCATTGTACCATTGTGTCCAACATAAAAATAGATAATAATAGAGAGCATTTGCATATCGCAAATTCCCGCTCAACAACAAGCTCTATGCGCTTTACACTCTTTACTTTTACCCCCAGCAGACCTGAGAGAATTCTGAAACAACCTCAACTTCCCGGGGAAGCATACAGAGCAAGCAGCCATTTATGGGGGCTAAAATACAAACATACTGACAAGATCTTTCGCTGTCTAAGGCCGAGTACCCGTTCCCACCTGGGTGGAGTGGGGAAAATTCGTGTAAAGTGCCTTTCCCAAGGACACAACGTTGGTCCCCGCTCGAACCCCCGAACCCGCAACCTCACGGTTGCCAGTCCGGTAGCCCAACCACTTGGCCACCGACGCCATTTTGACATTTCTAAGTCGCTTTTGTCCCTTGCTACGGTGCAGCCTCTTTATAACAACATTGTCAGGGCCAGAAAAAAATTTCATTATAGAGAGTTGTGGTTATAGAAAGCTAACCAGAAATATTAGGCCTTCTAATGATTACAAGTGTGCTAGCCTAACCACTAGGCCACCAATGCCACAAACTCAACTGTAAAACAGCTGGGGCTCCATAAGCTAAGTGAGTAGTGAGTTTAGACTTAAGAGCATAACTCTATGCTTAAGAGTAAAGTCAAGCAAGTGTCGGTGACACGGGTATCAGATGGGTGGTCAATGGGGTGTTTCCTTGAGCAAGACACGACAACCCTAGCTAAAAAAAACACCAAAAACAGGGCTCTGCACAATGGCGACCAGCAAGGACACATTTGAGATATTATTCTGTATAGGTGTAACATTGTGTATGTAAGTATGTGTGTGTGTGTGTGTGTGTGTGTGTTTGTGTGTGTGTGTGTGTGTGTGTGTGTGTGTGTGTGTGAGTGTGTGTATGTATGTATGTATGTATGTATGAATGTCTGTATGTATGTCTGTATGTATGTCTGTATGTATGTCTGTATGTATGTTTGCCATTGTAAACCAAACTACCCTTTTGGGATCAATAAAAATGTAATTAATTTATACATTTATCTATTTATCTATTTCAATTTCAGAAAGACAAAGCACTACATCAACACAACAGCTGTTCTCCAGTGCTGGGTAACAGCTAGACACTGGCAGAAATGCTGGGGTAACAGCTAGACACTGGCAGAAATGCTGGGGTAACAGCTAGACACTGGCAGAAATGCTGGGGTAACAGCTAGACACTGGCAGAAATGCTGGGGTAACAGCTAGACACTGGCAGAAATGCTGGGGTAACAGCTAGACACTGGCAGAAATGCTGGGGTAACAGCTAGACACTGGCAGAAATGCTGGGGTAACAGCTAGACACTGGCAGAAACAACACAGGCACAGTCAAACAAAGGAGTAGAATCCCGCCGTTTCACTCATCACCCGCATCATCCCCTTCCAAAATATCCGTTTCCGATAAGACGGGACGAGTTGTTTTAAAGACATTACAGCAAAGCTGTCTTATGACCAAAAACAAACAAACACGTTATATTAAAAATGCATGCGAAGGTCGAGAAACGTAGGAAATATTTATACAGGGGAGAAATTATTTTTCATGGTGCGTTTTTCTATCTTGGATTTATGGCTGTAGAATTAAAATTAAGGAAGTTTTGGGTTTTTGAGAATATTCGTTGTGACCTAATTACATATCGATATTGTCATGAAACAAGAAATTTTAATCAATCATTCCAATACTATTTACTGTTCGCCTCAGCATATCATGCAAACGTTAAACTGGCCAATGAATTCTTGACATAAAATAACCAGATCGACCAAAATTTAGTTAATTTGAGACACCCACAAAAAGTTTGGGTTTTTTTTTTAATATTTGCCTCTCTTGTTAAATTTCATATTTGGCATATACGTTTTTCTTTCATAAGACGGCAGAGCTATCCACGCAAGGCAGGTGAAGAGGCTCTCGTAGCCTAGAGGTTAAGGTGTTCGCCTCTCATTCAAAGGTACCGGGTTCGAATCCGGGTAGCGACGGAATAATTTTCTTCTCTAAAAGTGACTCCTTTCACCTCCTTTCTTGCTCTGTAGCAATGCTCTGTAGCAATGCTCTGTCGTCTGCTTTCGTCTCCACTTTCGGCCCCCACCCCCTCACCTCCTTTGCCCCCTCCTCTGGGCTCCTGGCTCTTTCTGCCGCCTTTCAACTGCTCTTCCTTGGCTCATTCTTACAGCTGTCTTTCAGCCACAACCCTGATTTTCTGGTAGGAAATATTTATACCTAGCCTTCTCGGACAAGAGCAAAAAATCTCGGAGTTCCCGTGTGCAAGTTGCACAGGTTGAAGATCCCTTGGTGGTCTAAAATTGATAAGATTAGGCTTCGGTGGCAAAATTCAAAATTTCCTACCACCTGAGCATGTTTAAAGTGTCCCGCGCGCTCATATGACCTTTATGCAGTTGCGAATGCTGTAGAACAGTCCCCACCCCCCTTCCCCCACCACCAAAAAAAGGCAGGTGAAAGGTTTGGCCTACAGAGACCAATCACTTCAGGCATTGCTCTGCATAGTAATATTTAAAACTAGTTCATTATATTGTTCTGGCCAGTTTGAAAGAAAACCCCGGACACGTTGTACTTAATGTTTTGACAAGGGGCAACACCGCTTGAAGAACAATTGTAGCGACAGAGTTATGGTTCATAAGAGGCATGCCACGTATCCCATGGACAGCTAGAAAAACAAATGAAGAAGTCCTGGTTGAAGCAAATTATAGAAGACAATTTATCACGAATAAGAAAACGACAGGCAAATTTCTTCGGACACGCAATGCGGAAAGTAGCATTAGAGACTATTGTAACAACAGGAAAGTTCGATGGAAAGAGAGGCAGAGGCAGACAGAGGGAAAAGATACTGGACAAGATGACAACATGGCTGGGAGCAGCAAGAACAACAGACACCATTGCTGCAGCGCAGGACAGGGTGAAGTGGAGGTCCATGATCGCCCACGCCAGTCGGCAAGGCACCGGATGATGATGATGAACACCACTTGACAGTCTACCTTGTTGTTTTTGTTCTATTTGACGATCTACCGCGATGTTTCTGGTCTACCTGACGGTCTACCAACAACCCAGTCTTACAACTAACTGTTCCACTTGACAGTCTACTAGATTATTAATAGCGACAGGGGCATGGGTAGGAATAGGGGTATGGTTAGGATTAGTTGTTTGTTTTTTAAGTTTTAGTAAGGTTTTACGCGTTTCTAACTGCATGATACCGTATGAGCGTCAAGGGGTGGATGTCAATAGAGAAGCCCAAACGACGAATCAGGCTTACTCTGCTCACCTCTCCAGCCTCAATAGTACAAAGTCCGCTTCGACTATCAAGGCACCCTGGAAATGGCAGTTCACAAGAGAGTGGCAAACATACAAAAGAAATAGAGGGAAAATGACGATAGTAAGGATGGGGAAAGAGAAAGCAGCAGTTCTCCCTATGTTGTTCCCGCACAGTATGAGCATGACATTGATAAATCAGCCCGTTGGCAATTCCACTGTGCATAAGATCTTGTTAATACCCCCCCCCCCCCCACCTTTTTTTGGGAACGGCCTAAAGACAACTTCAGTCAGTAGCACTGCCCTCTCTCGTAGGTGTGGAAGGGTTAGATTTTGGGTATTGGTTAGGATTAGGCAAGGGTTAGGCTAGTGTTTTTTGGGTGTGGGTCCTTAAAGCGTGTGTTTTTGGCCAACTGACACATTATAGTGTGAGCGTTGTCAACCAAGCATGACTTGCGGTAAAACGGGTTGCCATGGTAGACAGTCAAGTGGACTAGCGCATTCGATACGTTTGTCAAGGTCAAACCGAGCTGAATGAACTGCATCGTGTTAGAATCGGAATTAGGTCATTTTCGTGCCATAGTACAAAAGCAGAATTTTAACACCCAATACACCAGTGAGTTCGCCTTTGAATGTGTCTTCTACTTTGAGTGCGAAAAAGTGAAAATAAATCATTTTCCTCGCTCTTATCAACTAAATTTGATTGGGGTTTTCCTGCAGGTTTTTTTTTCTGTAGTTGCTGTTGTTGTTTTATCCAGACACATTGATTGGCCCAGTTTTTTGTGTGTTTTTTTTGTTTGTTTGTTGTTGTTTTTTTATCGGCCTTACTTAGAAGACTCGAGTCCGGGGTTTCTAGTTCAGCTGCTGATCACTGAAAGAAATAATAATTTTCCACTTTGTGTAATAAAAAGTCCCTTATTTCTCTTTTTCTCAAGTACCTGCCACAGTTTTTTTTCATCTGCTAGCGGTTTCTGCTAACCGTTATAGCTTGTTTAGCTTATCAGCAACAAAAATGTTTAATGACCTGGTGCTCGTAGACTGACAGTTTTTGACCTTTCTGTATTTAATGGCAAGTGTTGTGTAACTAAAAAGTTCCTCGCTTTGCCTGTTTAAGACGTCGTTTTGATTTAGAATCTATATTTCCATCAGTGATGTGAGTGAAGTTCTCTTATCCTTTCACAAAAGATAAGGCAGGGTCAATTGTTTAAGTGACAAAAATTACGTTACTTGCGCGTATCTCCATCTTCCTCTTCCTCTTCCTTTTCCACCTGCCTTTCCATTTCCTTTTCCTCCTCCCCACCCCCGCATTATCCTGCCCCATAAACCCTTTCATCCCACCTCCCCCTCTCTCCTTTCTCCTTATCTATGTGAAAACTGTATATGTTTAACGTCCTTATCAACACTATTAGGTCATTTAAGAGGCGGGACCTACGAGTTTACGTCCATCTCCAAAAGGACCGAGCCAAATGGGAAATTCCGTGCATTTTCTTTCCTCATCCTTACTATCGTCATTTCACTCTTCTTCTTTTGTATGTGTGTCACTCTCTTGTGAACTGCTATTTCCGGGGTGCCTTGATAGTCGAAGCAGACTGAGTGCTGTTGAGGCTTGAGAGGTGAGCAAAGTAAGCCTGATTCCCCGTTCGGACTTCTCTGTTGACATCCATCCCTTGGCGATCATATGACCTTATGCAGTTGCGAGCGCCGTAAAATCTTTTCCCAAGGACACAATGTCAGACCGAGCTCAGGATCGAACCCCCGAAACAGTAATCTCACGATTATGTGTCCGGTTGCCTAACCACTAGGCTACCGACGCCATAGATAAGGATCTGTGTCCTCTTTCTTACCTGACAGAATTCACTTGTTGTACATTTAATTTGGGGGGACGTCGAGAATTCAGACAGGTGAATCGGCGCGTTAAAAACCCGCGAAATGAGGAACGAGACTAGAGAGAAAGTAGAGAAAGAGAAAACAGTCTGCAATACTATAGCACACACCGTTTTCCCCACTTGGTGATATAGATCTTATTTCAGTTTCGTTTTGCTAGGGGGGGGGGGGTTGTACGCTTATGAGTTTGAGTTTGTGGAAGGGTTTGTGTGTTTGTGTGTTTGTGAAGGAGTTTAAGAATTCAAGAAGTTGCATTAGCAAGCAAAACGACAGTAAATACCCACGAATAATATGAAGTGAAACAGAAAACAAATGCGTACAATAATAACTGTTTTTCAAGTGAAACTAGCAGGAATAACGGCGGGATGTGGGAAAACACGACACCCCTAGAATATCACAATCAGCTTTGTTCTTGTTTAGTTAGAGTTTTACCGCGCTCGCAACTGCATAAGGTCATACGAGCGCGCAAAACACAAACTGGTTGCATTCACAACAATTCTAAGCACGGCTTGGTTTTAGATCAATATTTCGATTAAAATGTTTAGAATTTGTGGTACAACCTCAGTTTTTAAAATAACACTTCAGATAATTTTTAAAATAGCGCTATCTACAATCTGTTGTAAAGGCTAACGTCCTTCATAAAATGGAGAATTCTGTTGGGATCAACGACAGACAACAGGTCATGCATTTTTTTTTGCATTTAAAATACTTCTCCTCGGATCTCTCCAAAGTCTGGACATTCTGTTAAGATGTGTCTAATGGTAAAATTATCTAACTCAGCACCTACCTCCACAGATGGTGAGCAGCATCGCCGCGGAAGGCTTGTCCACGTTTCTGTTGACCGCTAGGGTAGGGATGTAGGCTGGAATGTACAGGACCAGGACGCCTGCAGCAGTCGAAGTGACCAGGAGACGAAAGAGCCAATCAGAAAACAGACGCATATCGAATAAGGAAGTGGCTTGAACAAGTTTTCTTCGGCAAGCTGAATCTTTGAAGACTCGACTGAGCGAGCTCAGAAAGCCGTTGTTATTTTTTTTCTGAACGGCTTCGTTTTCCTGTAGCTGAGTAAATTCGTTGGCTGTGCTGTCCTCATTTCCACAACCGTCGCAACTGTACGACAATGACCCTGAGAAGTTGTCAGAAACATGGTTTGATTTTAAAGATGAGTTCAGATTTCTATCTGTGTTATTTTCGCCAGGAGAAGGCCCCAACTCTAGACCGCCGCGAGGTCCACATTTTGCTTCCGTTATGGAAGAAGTGTCATTTGTGGCCGCAGCACTGGTGACCTTGTCTATGAACTCTGACCTCGTTCCAAGCACAGAACCACTTCTGGCGTCAGTACCGACGTCAGTACTTTCAGTCAACGGTCGATTGGAATCATCATCCTCACGACGCAGTTCACGGTGGTCGTCATCATCGTCATCATCATGGACATCATCAAACACTCGTTCTGCAAGAGCGACTGTCTTTCCATTCACCACTGCCCGATCAACACTGTCCTCCTCGGCTCCACCCTCGACAAAAGGCACCTTCTGCAGATCGTCATATCCCGCGGGCGCCGTGGAGATGCTACTGCCCTTGACACTGGCGTAGTCGTAATCCCCCTCTGAGAGGCGGGCTCGCCGAATGTAGCAAGACACCGGCCTCATCAGCATGGCCACAGCAATCCCGTGCATCTCCAACGTTGAGATGAGCAGGAGGGTAGAGAGGAAGCCGAAGGTGTCCAGCAGAAGTCGGACAAGAGGTGGCATGGACAAGAGAGCCACGCCGATGCCCGTGTTGCACAAAGCCGTGGCCACAGAGCGACGGCGCCGGAAGTAGAAGCCGATCATGCTCACGGCCGGGATCCACATACAGCCGATGCTGGTACCTGGGGGGTGGG